GAAAGACAGCAATAAACAAAATGGATGACATGTTTTTGATGTTAAAATAGAATCTTTCGAGTTACCTTCCTGCCAGCTATGTATCCCCCAGCTGCTCCAAAGCTTTTGGTGAATGTACCCATCAATACATCAACATCGTCAGGATCCATTCCAAAATATTCCACAACTCCTCGGCCCGTTGGTCCCACAGCACCGATGCTGTGAGCTTCATCCAAGTAGAGGTAGGCTTTGTACTTTTTCTTCAAGGCAACTACTTCTGGCAAGCGCACAATGGAACCTTCCATGCTAGGGAATGAAAGAATTGCTAATGAATAATGCCCAGATGCCTTAATATTCTGCTCCCTTTAAATATATGATGGAGTGCAAGGTGTGTACAATACAGCCTGCTTAAAGGTCAAAAGAAATGTGAAGTCAAATATACACACTGGCTGCTATCCAGACAAGTATATAATAATGCATTACAAAAATGCAATTCATAGATCTTTGCAACTCTGGGCCATACTTTGGTACCTGCTTAAGTCCTAAACACCTCTCTGGCAACATTCTCAGGTAATGGGTCCTGGGACAATCAGCTCTGAGTTGTAGGAGAAGCATAGGGCTAGCAAAGATAAGAGCTCAAGACAGGAACACTTTTTTTCTGCTCTTCAGAATGGCCCCAACCTATTTCTCAGGTAGCTGCCATATCTTAGAACAGCCCTGGCCCTTGGAGCTGGTAGAACCTGGGAGATACAAATGCAACTTCCACCATTGCTTGTCCTCTCTGCTCCTACTTTGTGCCTTTCTGGAGATGTGTCATGTAATATATGACAGGGCAGGATCCTATTATGTGCGTTATGTCCCTCCCACCAATAACTGAAGCAAATTAAATATTCTGTGTTCATACATTAGTGGCACATGAAGGGGACCAAAAGAACACTTGTGGTAGCTACATCAATAGGTTAGGTGGACTTGAAGATTTACACTGTAAGCTGAACCCTGAGGAGACAAGTAAGAAATCCATTTTAATCTGAGGAACATAAATTATCCATATAATTGCAGTAAACACTCTTGATGTCTTGAAAACCTGCGTGAGATGGCTGAGGAAGCTTGTCACCAGCTATCTTCACATGTACTCAGTTATCAGCAGAGTGAATTAACTTTGGGCTCTTCCACTAGCTGGACTGGGTAGGTGGGATGGAGGAGGTTAAAGTGCTAATTCAATGGAGGCCAACCTTTTTGGCAGGATTTGGCTGCCTCTTCCCCCAGTGCTCTTCTGATCCCCTTCCCCTGTGTGATCTGCTGCTCCGCTTTCTGTTTTCTCCCCTATGCTCCCTCACTGATTTGCTGCTTTGCCTCCTGCTCCCTGCCCTATCTGCCTCTGTGTTGCCTGTCCCCTCCCTGATCTGCTGCATGCTACACATAGAGACTGCCTATGCCACTTGTGGCATCCATCCTACAGGTTAGCCACTTTTTGCTTGATATGTATTTCCAAGGTATTCTGAGGGTAGGTCCCTGGCTTAGATGTGCCAAAGTAAATACTCTAAGACAGTTCCCTGAAAAAGTTTGTCCTCAAATCTAATATGCAAATAAGTATGTGCTGCCAGCACAGCTTTGCCATGTTATTTATTTTGATATAAAACTATTTTCTGTTGCTCCTATGGATTTTTTCCACTGACAACATGACACTGCATTAAGTAAGTGAGGAGGCAGAAACTGAGAGTGTGACAGAGTGGTAAAGCAGCAGGCAGGCTTTTAGAAAAATCATCAAAAGTTTCCCAATTCCCATCTTTCTCATGGTCAAAACTGGCATCCTGGGAAGGCTTTAACTAAATCTCAGCAATACTTGATATGCCCACTGTTCCCCTATCAATATCAGAGAGTACAATAAAATCAGTGGATATACTACTTTACAGGGATGTTTCAGCTAAAATGACCATAAGTGTACTCATTAAGTATTTTCACATTTAAATTGACATCATCAAATTTATTAGCCCATGCAGAAAAATGGGGGGCAGCTTACATGTCTGTCCAAGTTATTGTTTTGGCTTGTTTGGAGACTCAGGCAGACAACACTGCACACAGGATGTTCATCCTCAGAGCTTTATGGGTTACAATCTTAAATTAATAATAGAAAATTTAGCTTCTACTGTATAAATCAGCATGAAATTATACCCAGATCCTTAGTTAAATACCCTCTACTAGTGGCCACAAGGTTTTAAATTCTAAGAGACTATAATGAGGATAGTGTAGTCACTTCATGTAGACCCTTTCTAGGGTGGCCATCATAAAGGACATTACAGTTTTCTGCTACTCTGTCCTCTGCTGATACAAAAGCTGACGCCTTTATGTCCTCCATTTTTCTCTTCAAGAAGAAATATAGAGGACATAAAGGGATCTGGTTTTGTATCAACAGAGGACAGAGGACAACCGGACTGTCCTCTGTGATGGCCACCCTAACCCTTTCACACCTGGAACAGAGGACAAAACCACCAGAAAAGTAAAAGGCCCGTTGATCTCAGAAGGATTCACAACATGGGAGGGATCCACAGAATGGATACAATACTGATGTCTCCATGAAAGTTTTTCTATGTTGTCCGGCTAACATGCTTCAGTCCTCTAGGGACTAAATGCCAGTTCATATCCTATGCTGACTCCTTCCTTGGCCTCTCTGCTGACTTTCAGTGACTGGGGAAGAGTGTCTGTGATGCAGACAACTGTTTGGTTAGAACTGCACTGAGACCAAATTCACTTTGTGTCGGAGCCTCAGAGAAGCCCAAAAGGAAGGCGAAATCCTTTGGTAAGCATTGATTGAGATTAAATTTAAACCAGGGATCTTGAGAAGAAACTAAATGTATACAGCTCATGTTGGTAGTGTTGTTCTTGCATAACTGCTTGCGTCTTTTGTAGCTCTGAAGGTTTATAAGAAGTAGTCTGATGAAGTCTGAACATTTTTTGTGGGAAGGGATCCGTTTATAAACCACAACCTTTATCCTCTGGCCTCAGAGGTAGGACAGAGCTCCACTGCCCAAAGTAGAATTATAGACATATTTGCTTGGAAAGAACCCTTAGGAAATTACGTAATCTAATCCTCTGCTCATGGCAGGATCACTGTGTCTAAACCATCTCGGAGAAATGGGGAACACGAGGAGAATTCTGGGAAGCAATTGGGCCTCAGGGAGCCAAATCCTGCCTCGAGGAGCAGAGCATACACGTGGCCTGTGCAGACCAGCCTCTAGACAGTGTAGACATAGTCCTCCCATTGTGGTGTGATGGGATGGGGTGAGTGAGGCCACAGTCCTGCCTCCTCTTTCTTCCCTTTGCACTGTGTGCTTCAGGGAAAATCAAAGACTATAACAGCAGAAGCCCTCAGATAGGTTGCGCAAAGGCTGTGGCAATAATTTTGTGTGCCATTCATTCACGGCTGGTTGCTTGCCATAATCAGGCCCCCAAAATAAAATATGCTATTAAAAGATGAGGGCCTGTCATCTACACGAGTGAAACAGGAAACAGGCTTTGTCACAGAGTTATGTTACTTCTGCAATATTGCGTCAAATCCAGGGCAACTGAGTTCAGCTCTGCCCTAGCTGAGATCTGCACTGTTCTTTCACCTTATAATTTCTGAAGTGGTTTTCCTCATATGGTATCCTCTCTCTCTTCTTCATAGTCCCGTCACACAGTGAAGCTGTGGCACAAAACTGACCTATTTACAACATTGAACCTATTGCAATAGTTCAAAACCTGTTCGGTTTATGCCTGGGATAAATTTTCCTTTACAATACAAGGTGCTAATCCCATTACTGACAATGTTATCTACTCTGCAATGTTATTGAAGTGTTAACCAGGTTATATAGTCACGGAGCTGTAAACACGTCCCCTGACAAGGCATGGTACAAGGATGTACCAACTACAGAGCTTTGGGCCTAATCCAAATCCTCTGAAAGTCAATGGATTCTTCCCTTAAACCCTCATGGTATTTTGATCAGCACTTTGGAAAGAAAGACATGCTCCCATGGGTTACCTAGTCCTCCTCACCATCTTTACTGGCTTATTCTCTAGAGGCTGCTGAGTTTAAAAATAAATATCTCAGGGAGCTGGCCTTCTAACCATATAATCAAGTAGAATAGGGGTGGGCAATTATTTTGGGCGGAGGGCCGCTTACTGAGTTTTGGCAAGCCATTGATGGATGGATGACAGGCAGCCAAAGGCAGATAGATATTAATTTTCTAAACTTTTTAGGCGCCCCGCGGGCCAGCTAGAATGGCCGGTGGGCCGGATCTGGCCTGCGGGCTGCATTTTGCCCACCCCTGAAGTAGAATGAGGCATTTTTCACAGCATCATTCATTACATAGTCAGAAAGACTGATTTTAATATTTAGCCTACCATTTTATCTTTCATAATTACATAATACAACTCTGATAGATAACAAAATCTATTACCAGTCCTCTACTCTTTGATGACTTATCCTATGCTCTTCTTCAAACTGCAAATAAATCTTTCCTTATAAGTAAAACCCTCTGGCCCCATTCCTCATCTGATCTTTCACAAGATGCATACTTTATATTCATGTCAATCTCTTACTTCCAAAATATACACAATAAATCTTAGTCTTTGCTTTTAACATTATTTTCTTTGGTAAACTTTGCACATGGTGGTGTTTAGGAGACTTGACACAACCGTCTCTATTTTGTGGTTTACAGCACTAGTTTAAAAAGTCAAATGAAATACCATACGTTGAACCGTTAGGAAACAGCCACTGATTGATTAACCCTTTTTGCTGGTCTGTGGCCAGACACTTAAAACATTGCCTGTTTTTCAATCCCTTGGTCCAATCACATAATAGCAGGAAATAAAAAAATTGTCCCAATAGATTGCCTAGGGTACTGGCACTGAATCCCGCAAAATTTCAAGTATACGTGAAAATGCCCTGGATGAAATCCAAATGTTCAGAGAGCCACCCGCTGGCTTGTATGGAAACATGCTCAAAATCAAATTAAAATGGAAATTGAAAAAAAAATATGAAAAAATCATCTTTTTGAGCACTCCATGTTGCCCTTCGACTATTGCCCTGGACTTTGGCTCGTCTAACAGAAATGCAAGTATGTTACAAGGGAGCATGCATGTACCAGAAACTGATTGAGAAAGCAGTAACTGGTTGATCTGAACTGAAAATGGTAGATGCCAAGGAAAACATTAGCTAGAATTTAAATAATAGACATCTGATTTAGCAAGTCAGTTTAATTTGCACCATGGACACTGCCAAAACTTGGTCATGCTTTTTGTACTGGGGACTGATAGTCATGTGGTCTTTCTGTATTTGGAATGAATATGGAATCCATTTACTCTCATGCTAATGCAGGTTAAAAGCCAGTTTTCACTAATAGTTACATTTATCTTTGCTACATTTTCCTTTTTCAGATGTTACATACATGCATACATACATAAATGGACACTTTCCTCACTGTTTAATTTACATGTAGCTTGGATCCTTCACAAGTTTAGGGGCAAATTTCTGCTTGCACTTAGGCAGGCTTTGGTTTGGAAACACCCATCTGAGTTTTTTTAACATCCATGTTGGCTAGCAATAGTTCTTTTCAAGTTCTGCCAGATGGTAAGCTTGGGTTCATGCACAATGTAGCAAAGGAGAACTCTTTAACATACCCATACCATAGCCCAAGGGATTGCTTGAATGAAACTGAAAGAAGAATTTGGCTTTTAACATCAGTCTCACCACCAGAAGACCATGGTGTTATATGTAACAATGTTAAAACAATAATGGAAAGTTTTAAGTTTCTCCTGAATCCCTGGAAAAAGTATCTGTGGAAGAAGCTTCCAAACCAAACTTGCAAATCAAGATGCTTTATTTTGACCAAATAATTTCAATTCTATATACGAGTCATCTTGAAGATCCATTTCTTTAGAAACCCATTTAAAAAGACATCATATGACCTTAGCAAGAAGGATCTGGTAATATTTCTCCTCTTCTTCTCCAGTATGGATACAGTGTTAATGTACCACTGGCAAAACTTGAAAAGAACTAATGCTAGCCAGCATGGGTGCTGGAAAATCATATTGCAAAAACCATAGCTCAAGAAAGGAAAGAATCAGAATGAGAGGAAACAGCTCAAGCAAAGTGTAAAAGGAGGCAATTCTAGTATGTCTTTCCTTACCCTTTCTTTGCATTTAAAATGTTGTTAGCTGTATGCTTGTTTGGTCTATTTGATTTGCTAATCTGTGCAAGCAACAATGACTATACAGTGCTTCAAGGACAGGTAGATATTGAGTACAGCCAGTAATGCAATAATAAAATACAGTGCCAGTATAATGGGAGTTTTCTCTCAGCCCACAATAGAACTGATTTGCAATCTGAAGTAGGAGCTTTGACTTCTGATTTGCTCACATCATTCAAATGCATAAAGCTGATTTAAAAACTAGTTAATGTGTGTACCAGTTTCTTTTAAGGTAGTAAAAAGGAGTTAAGTTTTTTTATTAGTTTCTTATTTTATGGCTTTCACTTGAATGGAAATAATCAATTTTGAGGTGCTAGGATGAGATTAAACTTTTTAATGCAATTGGAGTGAGGCACCTTTCTTTTTTGACTGCCTGCTTCAAGAAAGATGTCTAGCGGAGAGCAACAAAAATGATTAGAACAGGGAAAGTATGGCTTCTAAGGAAAGGCTGAAAGAGCTTGACCTCTTTAGTCTGGAGAAAAGAAAACTGAGTGGGATTTGATGACAGCCTTCAAATACCTGAAGGGTGATTATAAAGAAGATGGAGGTAACCTTTTTTCTGTGGCTGTAGGGAACAGGACTAGGAGCAGTAGCTTCAAACTGCATCAAAGGAAATTTACATTAGAAATAAGGAGAAACTTTCTGACTATGAGGGTGGTGAAGCATTGGAAAAGGCTACCCAGAGAAGTTGTGGAATCATTATCCCTGGAAATTTTCAAGAGGAGATTTGACAGATACTTGCCTGGGATGATCCTGCCTTGAGCAGGGAGCTGCACTAGATGACCACATGAGGTCCCTTCAGCCCTATGATACAATGAATTCGTATTGCAAGTCCATGGCTGTTGAGTGCTTAATTCCTTTAGTTTGTGGATTTTCTATTTTAAGTGACAGACATTGATATCGTCCACATTATGGTAATGTTAGACTGATGTAGCTATGATGATCCAGGAATAATGCAGAAGCAAAGAATTTTGGGGTGATATCGTTTACTGGACCAACTGTGTAATTGGGATAGAGTTAGACAAGCCTTTGAATGCAAGACATTCTTCTTCAGGTCTTGCATTTGAAAGCTTGTCTAACTCTATCCCAACTATACAGTTGATCCAATAAAAGATATCACCCCCCAAAATCCCTGCCTCTTGCATAATTCCCTTAGGCACGCTGACAATCCTCATCTAAAATACTAGGACCTTACAAATTAAAATTTTACATGATGCCTTTTGCTAAGCAATGAGAAAGATGGCTCTTCTATTGTCCACTTGAAAAACTCTTTTGGAAAAACAACAGGAGATTTAACGAAATTTAAGCTCAGTGTCTTGTAAATGCAAGATTGATTAAGTTGCAAATGCCAAAACAAACTGACATAGTGAGTTTGCGCAACTGTTATGCCTAACCAGCATGTCTGTCTCTCAAATTTACTGTCACTTTCCATTATTGTTGACATATGAAACATAGGATTTAAAACTGACTAAATCACAGCAGCTGCAGTTTTTTTTTGTAGGCCATGTGACTGACAGGGGTATTTGTCAGTAAAATGTTGGTGGTCCACTTAATTTCTGCATGATCAAAAGTCCTTAGAACTTTGCTTTCCTTTAGCTGGGCCAAGCTATGTTTATTTGCAGTTTTGGTCTGTTTATTCTGGCTGAAAGGAGATGTTCAGCCTGCTTTGGATCAGCTGATCTGCTGCTAAACTGTTTCAGTCCTGAGTGACAGGTGTTTAGATAAGGGCTCATTTGTTCTCTGCAGCAGCTGCCACATGATACACCAAAGAGAAAATGCTGATGACCAGGAAGTAATGACAATACACGAACAGTAAATGCATCATAATGAAAAAGGTAGCTAGCCGGACTTATTAAATATCATAATTTATCCCACTGCTGCCCAAAGTTGGTGCATCTCAGTGATGGGTAAAGTGATCTGTATTGTGTAGTGCTTAATGCTGACTTGCAAACCACTTGGGCATCCTGCAGGATGAGGAATGAGATATAATACAATGCCACATAACTACAAGGCATCATTAACAGACAATCCTAGACAAACTCCTTAAATTACCTTTATTATGCACTGTCTGCTTATATGTGAGCACTGGAACAACTGCGGCTAATTCCTTTAATGTCAGTTTATACCCAAGCCCAGATGCCACTCCATTGGACAGTGACACCAAGTGGAGATGGGTTGGTTTCACCAAGGCTGACTTGTCTTTCTGTGTTTGTATTCTGCTTTCTGCCTATAAAAGCTGGCATGCAGAATCCATACAATAGCCAGGCCAATATCTTCTTTTGATGTAGCAGTCTAGAGAGCTGGTCTCTTTAATCACTCTACCAAAGGTCCTCAGCTAGTATAAACTGTCATAGCTCTATTGACTTTAGTGGAGCTATGATAATTTTCACCAGCTGACGATTTGCCCTTTGTATTTATATGTCAATCCCCCTTTCCCCAGAGGAACGAAGAGTGAAAATCAATATTCAAAACTACATGTAGGGGACCAGACTGGAGTTGCTTCACTTACACCAAGGCTCAGACTGACCTATGCATTTTTTATATAAAGCATCAAAAGCTGAAACTGTTATTATCTGATTCCCCTTAATAATAAACACCAACAGCTTTAGCAAGGCCACTTAAGATCCTACTATGACATGAGCCAATGAAAAATACCCCTCTGTATTTCTAAGTCAACCCCAGTTCCTGTTTAATTATATAGGCCTACTAAATTACAATGGAGTGTTCATTTCTAAAATGTCTACAGACCTGTAAATGCCCTCTACAAGGATAAGGATTTTTCTCCAGGCTCTGTGGCTTCGAGGCTGCCCATATACTATTGCATCCCTCAGGAGCTTCTCAAGGCTCTGCATATCTTTATTTAAAAAGAAAAGAAAGGAAAGAAGCATTAAACAAAAGGATTTTTAAAAGCAATCATTTACTTTTTCCCTGGCCACTATTTAATGTTTAGGACATGCCTCCTGATTGTAAACTTTCTTTGTAAAAAAATCACAGCCTCAATAATAGATTTAAGTTGCCTGAAGTTTAAACTCAGAGACGCTACAAGAGTTTTCTACAATAGTGCATCTTATTTGAGGGAAAAAACCCCTTTTCTTCAAGCATTAGAAACTGGTTGTATCTGCATTTAAAAGTAAGAATTCAGAAGAGCATAGGGCATTTAAAAACAAGAATTCCTGTGAAAGCCAGTGAGACACGTCTACATTTCCCAAATCCTCTTGAGAATTCCCCCCCCATGAGGGCAAGCTGGCAACCTGGCTGGCTGGATATTCACTGACTTACTCTGTCTCAGAATCTGAGTCTACATTCTCTGCTTACCACACAGAAACAGGAAGGACAAGAAAGAATACAATTTATATGCATTCTGCTTCCGGCCAGAAGCACCTTCCCCTTTCAAGCACAGCATTGTAAGACACAAAAGTTACCATCATGGTAATACACTTGTCCTAAAAAAGTTAAGATTTGAAACCTATGAAACCTAAGGTTAAGATTTGAAACAAAGAATAGTAAAGATAGATGTATTAAGAAATGTTCAGTTATAACTGTTCCAGGCCATGTTAACCAAGGTGTTAAAATTAAATATTTCACTAGTAACCAAACAGAAAAACCAGAAGGGCCTTTTGTTATGATCAACATACACAAAAGCCAGAGAACTTTATATTTTTCTTGAAATCAGAGGTAAGGCTTATTAAGCCTACTTCAGTTAAGTGGCTTTGGGTCAGTTCCCAGCATCATCAGTTGCTTATGAATAACATGTGTTTCATCAGCAAACTCTTGGATTTTATCCTATGAAGCACAGCATAGTGACTTGAAGAGGAATCTCGTATTTTTCTAGAAAGAAAGGGTGTGTGTCTAAGTGAGTGCAAGAGAGAGAAATACACAAACTGGGGTACACTTTTTGAGTCAAAAGACAATGTTTTGATGAGGCTTAATGTAAAAAAGCCTTGAGCGGTGTTAGCAACATTGCTGCCTTCTCAGGGGTTGATTATGGATAATGATGCTAATGAGATAACTTTAATAAAAGTGGAATGGCAGACACTGAAATACAGAAAAAAAAAGAAAATGGAAGCATTAAGGCTGTTGCACAATTTGGCTTTTAATAGAGATTTGGCTGAAATCTGATCAATGTTCTGATATTAAGACTTGAATGAAACTTCTCAGAGGCAAACGCTTCTTGTACATGGCAGGGATCTGAAAACACACATTCCAAAATGCCTTGAAACAGCACCTGACATGGCATTTTGCTTTGTTCATTTTGCTTTTTCAGCTGCTGCCAGAAGTTGCAACAAGGTGATACAGAAGGGAAGGGCCAAATTCTAGCCCCCACCCCCATGCAGTGGGGTCTCCATAATTGCTGTTGCTTAATGTGGGGTACAGCTACATCTTTGCTGCTATTCCTACCCTATACTGTGAGTAGATATGAGTCCAAATTTCTGGGGCAGATCCCTTCCGTATTTGGGAGAAGGAATAGATTTCAAAGCGTGAAACTGCACCTGGTCTGAATTTTATAGGTTGCCCTTATCCCTCATGACTAGTTGATCCAAATACTTCTGAATGTGAGGTGTTTAAAATGCAAAGCCAGATCTGAAAGCCACAGGACACATCCTCATGTTTATCTTGGATGTTTACCATGAATCTGGAATGTGCCAGGCCCCACAGCGCTATTGTAATTTTAACTGCTTTAGAACTCAGTGACCTTCACAGTAAAAGCAGTGGATGGCAGTCGTGTACTACTGGAGACTGTCAGGCAGTAGAATAGAGATCACTGACTGGGCAAGTATTTGTATACAGCCAAGAAAAAACTAAAAAATGAATCACTGTGCTTGGGAGAGTACCTTAGGTCAGTTGCTAGAAGCTGGCAATGATGGCCTTCTAAAGCTGTTGGCAATGTTTTTGCATTATTCTATCCTAGAGCTTGAGCAATTTTTGTAACATTCAGCCATGTGATTTTAATCCATAAAATACAATCCACCCACTTGATGCTCCTCAGTCTAGAAGAGGGGTGTCAAAGATTCAGCCTGAGGGCCAGATTCAGCCTGTGGAACTATCATTTGGTCCCAGTGCTGTCCATGATTTTTGAGTGGACCCACAGGCAGCATGTGGGGTGTGCTGGATGGCCCCAAGTGTCACATTCAGGACCTGCTCTGTGACCACACTGTACACAGTGCCCATTCCAGCATGAACAACTGGTGCCTTCTGCCACTGCGGGGGGGCACCATAGCAGGTAGCAGTGAGCAGGGACTGCCCGCAGTCACTGTCCATGCTGTTGGCGGCAGCGAGTGGGGACCACCTGCAGCAGCCAAGAGCCATGTTGGCGACAAGGGGAGGTGGAGGGGGAAGGGGTAGGGGGTGGCAACTGCCTGCAGAAGCCAGCAGCAGCTTTGGCACCAGCCAATCTCAGGGGGGGCACGTCCCCCCACTATGCGTCAGCTATGCATTCCAGTGTGCATCCGCTCCATGCTGGATCCAGTGTACATCCCAGAGTGCATGCACCACCTGCATTGTGGCCCTAGAGTAGCCTGGCAGGAGTGGCTGGAGTGGGCACTGTGTTGGCATGGTCCTGGACCAGCCACTCTGGGACATGTACTGCATGCTGTGCCTGCTCCAGGACATGCACCAGCCTGGAGTGGATGCATGTTGGAGTGAGCACTGTGTGCAGTGTGGTCCCAGAGCAGCCAGAGTGGAAGCTGCAGGTAGTACTGTTTTAGAGCAGCTGTTCCAGGACCATGCAGCCTGTGGTGTCCACTCCAGTTGCTCTGGGGCTGTGCCACAGGCAGTGCATGCTCTGACCACTCTGGGATGTGTGCTGGATCTGGCGTGGAGTGGTCATGCACTGGAGCCAGTGCTAGGTGCAGAACTGTCCTAGAATGGCTGGTTCTGGACATGCGCTAGATCTGGTGTGTGGGGCTGGCCTGTGGGGTCACTTGTGTGGCCTGTAGGGCTAGAGGAGCTTGACAACCCTGGTCTAGACCGACGTCATGCAAGCACCTACTCTGGACACATTCAAGATGCGTTTGGATGATTATCTTGCTGGGGTCATCTGACCCCAGCTGACTTCCTCCCCGTTGGGTAGGGGGCTGGACCAGGTGATCTCATGAGGTCCCTTCTAGTCCTAATATCTACCAAATCTATGGAAATCTTTCAAACTATGAAGAACAAATGAGCAGTGTGTCTACATCTGGTATTTTTCAGCTCTCATTAAACATATCACTCAGTGTCCCTTAGTGAAAAGTGAACTCCTTCCTCACGAACTCCTGTTATGTACATGCAAACATGATCTGTTCAGGTAAAAATGGTTTCTCATAAGGCAAAAGGAATGACAGGATGTTCAAGAGGACTTGGGGGTACCATGCTGATGTAGCAAGCCTCATTGTTTGTTTGCACACCCACATCTGTCTGTTTCTTTGCATCCACTTGTTGTCTCTTTTCTTATATTTCCATTCAAAGTTCTTTGAGGTCAGATCATATTGTTTTGTATTTGTAGAGCACCTATCACAAAAGGGTCCTGGTCCATAACTAGGGTCTTGTTTATTCAGATAAATAGATTTCTGATGGTTGCCGTACCATTAGAAACTTACAGACACTACTAGAGATCTCAGTGGGTTGACTCAAGGTAATCAACAATGGTATTTGCTGCCCTGTTTATGGAGGTGAGCCATTTTACCAGGCACTTTAACAGAAAGAGCAAGAGGTCCATGAAACAAATTGACTCAATGTTAGTACAGGAAAAGAGGAGTAAAAAAAGATTACTCAGTACCCAAGCTTTCTCATTTGTGAGCCTTGAGGAAAGGAGCTTCTTTAATAATTGTCACTTTCCTTTTACCAGAAATGATTAGACAAGGCAGAACTACAGATTTATACTCCAGCAGGTTGGTGTCACTATGGTTCCTAAGAAGCTGTCCTATTATTCCTCATCTCATTTGTATAGGCCACGTATGGCCTGGGGCACCTGTACATACAAACACATCTACTGCCACAGCTATTAAGGGAAGAGACCTGCCCTCTTCCCTCATGCAGTTGTGTGTGTTCCACTACACACTGTCTGTCCACTGACCTACCCTAACTACAGCACTGAACACCACATTTTAGGTCAGGAAGAAGTATAACTCTTGATCAGATTGGCATAGACTGTTTAGGTTTTTTGTTCCTTCTGGAGCATGGGGCATAGTCCTTGTCCTAGGACCTTCTGAACATATTTTGACTAATAAGGTTTCTGTCATTTCAGTGGCAGGATACTAGAGGTATATTTGCCTCTTTTGCTTCTAATCTGTGGCATATTATAAGGTATTACTGATATTTCAGATATTGTCCCTTGTAGCTGTGGCTGGGAGTGGCAGTTTTGGTGATTCTGTTGTTTAACAAATGCCTGTGAGCCCAGGGGACTTGACTTGGTGGTTCAGTGTACTACGGATAGTCCTATTTTCCTATATACTAGTGTGTCTCCAACATGACTAACCCCTGATCCTCTACTTTGCAGCACAGCAAATTTCTATGGTACCGTGCTCTGTGGCACAGTGGAATTGCCCAGAATAGAATGTCCTCTGAATTGCATTCTAATGCAGCAAAATTGTCATTGTCATTGTCAACCTTTGTCATTGTCAACCTTTAGTGGTTGTATGACTCCTGCCTGGCTCTGTCTCTATGGTTGCCCTCCCTTAATTGCTTTCCTGCCATGCCTTGTTGTTATCAAGGTTAAGTAAGGGACACTGCCAGCAGGTCTGAGAGAGAGAGAGAGAGCCTGAGTCCAATCAACTCCTCAACAGGTCTCTCCTGAACCTTACTAGTCTCACTCAGCCTCTGTGCTAAATAGGCCCTTTTGGCCTGGCGGTGCTCCTGGAGGGTACCTATAGCCTGAAG